CTAGGCAATTCCATCTGATAATGAGTAAGCTAAAAAGTCTTTCATATTCACCGAGTTCAATCGCGATTGAACTCGGTGAATATGAAAGACTTTTTAGCTTACTCATTATCAGATGGAATTGCCTAGTTAAAATGCGTTGTATGTAGGGTCTTTAAACTAACTCATTATACTACAATATAATACTGTTTCAAATATACAAATGAAATGTGAATTATTATCATGATTAAAATTACTTACATTTAGCGAGGCTAATAACTGTTTGGCGCAGGTATGTTTTTGCAACAGTTTCATAAACATTGTATTTAATTGAACCTGTGATAGAAATTCATTGATGTTTTGCATGAATATGTTTCGCACTTCTGGCTTATCCATTGCTGGCTGCTAATGTTAATTACTAAATATTAAAAAGTAAACACCTAGTTTAAGTACGGTTTCACTTTTCCAAAATAAACGTTGTAATAATCAAAGACTTTGTAGTGATAATGCAAAACCGTTACATTTTTTGGGTTGTATTTATTAATATGTGGGATTTGTTTGATTAGATATTCATTTATTAACTTTTAGAAATTAATATTAAATTTACATATTATAAAATTATCTTTGAATGTAGTGATATAATATTATTGTCATATTTTATAATACAACAGGTATTTCATATAATTTACTGATAATTGTGATAATAAATAAACTGTGTTTGATGTAAATTCATAGGTTTACAATAGTATTAACATTTTTACTAATGTTATTTGATATGTAAAAACTAACTTGTATGCTAAGAATATTCTTTAAAAATTATAAACTATTAGATATTATAATTTATTGATAAATTTTGGTGACAAATACAGTATTTAAGTTCAGGTGTAATTTTATATAAATATATTAATTAATTTATAATTTAAGTATATTAAAGTAAACTTTTAAACATTTAAAATAATGAATTTTGGTTATTTGGCTAAAAGCAATTACTATAAAGTTTGCCCGAAATTCATGTGATAAAAAATAGTCATAATTACCTTTAATCAAAATTCACTAGACTAACCAAACCAAACCTAAATATACTTAACATAACTAAAATAGAGTGATTATACTGTAGGTAATTTTTGTTGTATAGTATATGTAATGACACTATATTCGGGCAAATGACTGGAACCAAAATGATCATATTATTATATTATAAACATTTTTGTAATTATAACAAATTAAATGTTTATTTCTTTTTATTACTATCAGTTATGTTTTAATATCAATTATTCATATATTGATCAAAACTTGTAAAGCAATTATTTAGCTTTATAGAGACCGGGGTTAAAATACAACTCCCTGTCCACGTTTTTCATAATCAGCTCCGGACGTTGTTGTATAATAGCCCTGTTCATCTCATCGCACGTCTATATAATAATAAATACGGTTAATTAAATAGTTATAACTAATATATAAAATTTTCAAACACACCTTGTTAAATATTTGTGTCAAATTCAAGTCGCATGCGTATTCAGCGATACAGTGGCTGAATACCTCGCCATATAATGTGTATCCATTGCCGGTATAAAAGGACTCAGTACCTAATCATGATAAACCACAAAATTAAATATTTAATAATAGTTTCAAATGAACCATGATTAGATTACCATCGGCACAGGCATAGCATATGAAGGTGCGAGTGGTGCCATCCATCCACTCCCTATCCACCACTGGTTCCCGCGGATCGGCACCAGTGTCTACAAAATAACAGCAAGGTAATATGTTTTCTCATAAATATAGGTAGGGTTAGTCCAATTAGTACCTACACATTTGATAAGGGTAAGCTAGGAAAGTTAACTTTTTCAATACTATCCTAATGTATGAAAGGATTACGAAAGTGAACTATAATTAATAGCCACGATTGCTTACGCACTAATTGAATTTTCCCATATTTATATTTGGCAGTAATTAACTAACAAGTAAAGTAAGTTGTACTCACAAAATCTACAGCAATTAAACACAAAGATTTTGGGCTTTATACTGAGAGTCGGGTGACATTTGCTTTCAGAAAACAGGTCGACCAGCTTTTTGATGTGTATTTCATCGCTGGGACCGTTACCCTGGACCATCTGATCGCGGCCATGGCCTATGAACATCACAATCAGCGCATCCTTTTTGAACTCCCCTTCGGAAGCAGTCTTAAGAGTGTCCAGAATCCGGTCGCACGAGTAGTTCACGTAAATCTCGACCGAGAAATACAATTGTTGAAAAATGTTGTCAAAACGATCTGCCTCCTTTTTGAGCTCATCCAGCTGTAGAAACAAGATTACCCGCCCCCGGGAAGGGCCGTCCATAACGAACCAACGGGAGGCGCCCGATCGCAAGGTATGGGCGTTTTTGACCTTTATTTCAACGTCGGACGAGTAGATTATGGGTGTCGTGGACTGGTTGTACTCTTCCAGCACTTTGGCCGCCTCATCCTGGTCACAATTCTTGAGGATTTCAATAAGCTCTTTGCATGAGTAACGATCTCGGTTAAATTCGGTAAATATGAATAACTTTTTTTCATCGTTAGACGAAAATCCCTATTGTTTTTAATGAGTAAAAGATTATACAGTATCAATAAAAACGAAATTATGTATTAATTTATCAATTTCTAGCGAACTAATCGCAGGGATTAGAAAATGATTTAATATTTTAAAAATAATCTCTTATTATGTGATTGATAGAGGGCGTTATTAACAAGTATGTATTATTTTATAAAGTATACAGCTATTTAGGATAAATCGTGGTGTGCCACTCTGTGACGTGATTATCATTGTTTCGAAACCAAAGTATACAATATTGTCTACAATTTGAATTAATTAAATCTGGCCAACTCTATAAACTGGTCTAGTTAATCCAGTTTTAAACATAGGTGGCATAGTCATTTTTGTATATAAATTAACATTACTATAGAATTATATGTTTGTTATGAATTTATATTCATGTATTTATAACTAATTGGTGGCACACTGTCTAAAACCTTATGATTTTCTGCAGCGGAGAGTGTTTTGAATTGTAATGTAAGGATATTATGTTAATTTATATACAAAAATGACTATGCCACCTATGTTTAAAACTGGATTAATTAGACCAGTTTATGGAGTTGGCCAGATTTAATTAATTCAAATTGTAGATTATATGGTGTACTCTGGTTTCGCAACAATTATAATCACGTCACAGAGTGACACACCACGATGTATCCCATTAAGATACTTGTTCTTTTGTAAATTATAAAATCCCTGGTATTGAATTAAATATAACCTAGTGGTTAAAAATAATTATATCAATGGCGTAGATATACACATATACATTATGTTAATTTTAATAAATATAATTTTAAATGTTAAATGTTTTATATATACTATTATATATTTATGATTTTCTCTATTATTTAACATTAAATATCACTTTTTTGCGAGGCACTGTTGACTGTTATAAATAATATTTTTAAATATAATTAAACAAGTATGATAATGATAATAATTTATAAATAATAATGACACTTACATTTAATGTGCTTAATAGGTTTTTGCATGAATGGCTTTCCAGTAGTTTCATAAACATGATGTTCAGCTTTACGAGTGGTAGGAATTGATTCATATTTTCCATAAACTTTTTTCGCACTTCCGGCTTATCCATTGTTTTGTATCAATATGAACAGGCTTACTTTGTAATAAAATCAAATTCTAATATAATAATAATTTTAAAATAAATACTATTAATTAATTTACAAAATGGAAAACAATATAAATTATAACAGCGTAATATTAGTACGATATAATTGATAGTGAGTAGGAATTATGATTAGATATTTTCATTATGACTACTCTATAGTTGCAAAACAAAAATGAAATTTAACCTCTACTTTGGGTATTTAAGACAAATAACATTTTTAATATACTTTATTTGAGTCATTGATAACCGTAACAGGTATTTCGTAAGGTATACTTTTATTTCAGATAATAAATAGACTGTTTTATAACACCAGACATTTACAAAAGGTTTATGGTTAAAATGTGTTTTTTATTGTACTGATGTGTAATGTGAATAGAGGTGGAGTAAAGAATATTCTAAGTTATATTAATTATACATCATATGAGCTGGGGACAATCATAGTAACGTTAGCTTTTTTATATTTATTATATCTAATTATTAATTTTATCCAAAAGTCAATTATTCATAAAATATACGACGGTTTAAGCTAAACGAGTAGTACTATGNGTAACGTTAGCTTTTTTATATTTATTATATCTAATTATTAATTTTATCCAAAAGTCAATTATTCATAAAATATACGACGGTTTAAGCTAAACGAGTAGTACTATGACTTATCAGGTTCAAATATTACTGCATTTTAAAGTATTAATAAAAATATCTAACGTTAATATGATTGTCCCCAGCTCATGTTATGAATTTTTACTAATTGATTCTTACGTAAAACATTTTAAGTGTACTGTACTCTACTCTATGAGAGCAGGTATGACAAGAGACTGAATTTACATTTGAATATTGAATGTAGTGCCGTAACAACTCCTAACGCCTCAAGTCTATTTTTGAGCTCAGGTGTAAAACATTCAAACCTTGAGCAACTTTTCCTGACCCTTAAGATTCCTAAATTGCAGAAATTTTCCTAAATAAAGGTCTTTACGACACAATTATTAACGTATAACTAAAGATGTTTAAACAAATCCTTTAATATTTTTATTTTGCAATATTTTCGGAATTTACTTTATTAATAACACGTCTAAAGTTTTAAGTTTAACATTAACTAGTAACCAGTAATCAAAATAAGTAAATGTATAATTGAAAAAAGTTTCAAATTTATTTAAATCTTATATATTGAACTAATTACACCGGTATTCAAATATTTATTATATTGACAAATTCATGTACAAATAAATGTATTTTGTGTCTGTACCAATTGTATAGATTATAAATAAATGTGAATTTCCCTATATGTTAGTAACATTAAAATACAGTCACAATTATTAACAACTAATATCAAGAATATTCTTTAAATATTAGTAGTATTTGTAAAATCATTTTTGCCATGCGAAATAATAAACATTTTTAGTTATCAGTTCATAAAAATAATACAAATTAATAATTTATACTTCATAAATATAATATTGAATAAAAACGTTGTATTAATAAAAGTTGCATCAAAAACTATTGTAAATTCTACATTAAATTATAAAAATACTTTTGGTTATATTAAAGTCTAATACAGTATTATTTCTCCTTATAGAGACCAATATTTTACAATATTTTATTAATTATATGTAAGGTTATAGCACTATATACAGAATATTTGTCCCAAACATTTCTAATAGAAAAATTGCATTTTAAAACAATATTTAAAATATAATTTTAAGTTTTATACAAATATATGATAATTTTGTTTAAGTATTAAGCTAAATATATAATATATCAATTATATACCGAAAACCTTCATAATAGATGCTTTTAAATATTAAAAATATTTATATATCGTTGTTTATCATTTTAATAAATGTGTTTATAGACTAGCAATGTTATTTCTCCTTATAGAGACCCGGGTTAAAATACAAATCCCTGTCTATATTTTTCGTATACATTTCCGGTCGTTGCTGTACTTCAGCCCTTTGCAATTGGGCACACGTCTAAACAAGGTTCATAATTATATTTATATTAATAGTATTTTAATTTTTAAAAATACCTTGTAAAATAGTTGTGTCAAGCTAAAGTCGCACGCGTGTTCAGCAATACAGTGACTGAACGCCTGTCCAAATAAGGTGTACCCGCTGTCGGTGTAAAACGCTTGAATGCCTTATAAGGCGTTTATAATTAAAATACCAAATTATATTATAGTTAAATTAAATTTCAATATAATATCAAGCGATCTAACCCTCGGCACATGAATAACATATGTAGGTGCGAGTGATGTCGTCCATCCAGTCCCTCTCAATGGAGTTCTGTCTATTGTCCAGTGCGTTATGTTTTTCTAGCATTTGGCAAGCTCATTTAATACATGCATACTTAACATATAAACATATAATTTATACGATATAAAATATGATCAAGGCACAAACTCACTATCTCGGCAGCAATTGAACACAAAGACTTTCGGCTTCTGACGCAGAGTCGGGTGACAATTACGGTCTGAAAACTGCTCCACAATAGTCTTGATGAGCATTACATTCTGACCCTCACCACTACCCTGGATCATATCATCGTAACCGTGGCCTATGAACATCACAATCATGGCGTCCTTTTTGAACTCCTCGGCCGCCGTCGCCTTAAGTGTGGCCATAATCTGCTCGCACTTCACATCGTTGTGTACGTCGACCGAGAAGTACATCTGCTGGAAGAGGTCGCTAAAACGATCCACCTCATTTTTAAGCTCAGGTAGTTGCGAAAATAGCAACACCCGCCCCCTGGGGGCGCTGTCCATAACGAACCAACGGGCGGCGCCCGACCTTAATGTCTGCGCGTCCTTAACGACGAGCTTGACTTCAGTTGAGTACGTGATGGCGTCTGTGGGCGACTGGTTGTACCCCTTCAGTGCTTCAGCCGCGACACCCTGGTCACACTTTTTCAAAATCTCAACAAGCTCGTTGCACGCCTCCCGATCGCGATTGAACTCGGTGAATATGAAAGACTTTTTAGCGTACTCATTATCAGCGGGAATTGCCTAGTTAAAAAATGTTGCTTAGTTAAAATGCGTTGTATGTATGGTCTTTAAACAAACTCATTAATACTACAGTATAATACGTATACTATTATTGTAAAATATAATACTGTTTCAAATATACAAATGAAATGTGAATTATTAGCATGATCAAAATTACTTACATTTAGTGAGGGTAATAAATGTTTTGCGCAGGTATGTTTTTCCAACAGTTTCATAAACATTGTATTTAATTGAACCTGTGATAGAAATTCATTGATGTTTTGCATGAATATGTTTCGCACTTCTGACTTATCCATTGTTGGCTGCTATTGTCAATTACTAAATATTAAAAAGTAAACACCTAGTTTAAGTACGGTTTTAATTTCTCAAAATAAACGTTTTAATATTCAAAGACTTTGTATTGATAATGAAAAACCGTTACATTTTTTGCGTTGTATTTATTAATATGTGGGATCTATTTGATTAGATTTATTAACTTTTAGAAATGAATAATAATATTTATTATAACATTATCTATTAATATAACTATATAATATTAGTGTCATATTTTATTATACAACAAGTATTTCATATAATTTACTGATAATTGTGATAATAAATAACCTGTGTTTGATATAAATTCATAGGTTTACAATAGTACTAAAATTTTTATTAATCTTATTAGACATGTACAAACTAACTTGTATGCGAAGAATATTCTTTAAAAATTATAAACTATTAGATATTATAATTTATTGATAAATTTTTGTAACAAATACAGTATTTAAGTTCAGGTGTAATTTTATATAAATATACTAATTAATTTATAATTTACTAATATAAAGTATATTTAAGTGAACTTTTAAACATTTAAAATAATGGAATTCAGTTATTTGGCTACAAAACACTTACCATAAAGTTTGCCCGAAATTCATTTGATATAAAAATAATCATAATTACCTTTAATCAAAATTCACTAGACTAACCTAACCTAACCAAACCTAAATATACTTAACATAAACAAAATAGAGGGATTATACTGTAGTTAATTTTTGTGGTATATGTTATTATTGGCAGTATATTCGGGCAAATGACTGGAATTAAAATAATCATATTATTATATTATAAACACTTTTTTTAATTACTACAAATTTAATGTTTATTTCTTTTGATTACTATCTGTTATGTTTTAATATCAATTATTCATATTTTTATCAAAACTTGTAAAGCAATTATTTGTAGAGACCGGGGTTAAAATACAACTCCCTGTCCACGTTTTTCATAATCAGCTCCGGACGTTGTTGTATAATTGCCCTGCTCATCTCATCGCACGTCTATATAATAATAAATACGGTTAATTAAATAGTTATAACTAATATATAAAATTTTCAAACACACCTTGTTAAATATTTGTGTCAAATTCAAGTCGTATGCGTATTCAGCGATACAGTGACTGAGTGCCTGTCCATATAATGTGTATCCATTGCCGGTATAAAAGGACTCAGTACCTAATCATGTTTTATAAATGATAAACCGCAAAATTAAATATTTAATAATAGTTTCAAATGAACCATGATTAGATTAGATTACCATCGGCACAGGCATAGCATATGAAGGTGCGAGTGGTGCCGTCCATCCACTCCCTATCCACCACTGGTTCCTGCGGATTGACACCCGTATCTACACAATAACAACAAGGTAATATTTTGTTC